TTATTAACTCACACTCAAGTTGTCCCAAACCGGTTTGACTTCCTTTCTTCAGTGGAACATAAAAGAAGGTATTTTAAAGACTGTTGGTAACAAAGCTCTTTTGGTTACCAATGACTTTCATTGTATGAACAAAAAATACTGAGATGTTTCTCAAATTATCTTCTTTTATGTTCCATAGTTTATGTTAGGCTGTTGTAGCCTAAATGTTTATGTGAAATAAGTATTTTCAATGACTTTAAACTTTAATTTTATGTTGAATCAAATAAAACAGTTCTAAAGCTACAATTTGTAATGTCTACTTCATACTTTCTCATTTAACACAAAAATAGCTTTAAATAATCTTTTGTGGGTATTTTCACAGTCAAATTTATTTTGTGATTCATTGCGATTAATTAGATTAATTAATCGAAACATCATGTAATTAATTAGATACAACATTTTAATCGACTGACAGCCTTCATTTTAAAATGAAGTTTATTCCTGTGATGGCAAAGTTAAATTTTCAGCAGCCATTACTCCAGTCTTCAGTATCACTTGATCTTTCAGATTGATTTGAAATAGAAACATTATAAATGTCTATACTGTCACTTTTGATTAAATAAATGCATCCATGCTGACATTTTTTTAAATTTCTTTCTTTCTTTTAAAAAAAATACAAAACAAAAAAAAACACCCTCAACTTGAATAATGTCTTGCTGTTCACCAGTGAAGAGTCTTCACACAAAAGCTCACAATAAGGCTGTATTTGTGAAAATACCGGGCAAACACAAGTTGAACAAAAACATGTTTAATGCCACTTTTGGCTGAGCTAAACACAAAAAATTATAATAATAATCAAGTAGGGTACCAATTTTTCCCAGAGACATTCCTCCGCCTCCTTGTCAAAACTATTCAGCTCAATTGTCAGACCTAAATGGCTCTCCTCTGAGTTTAATGACCGAGCTAAGCCTCAACGTCGAGCAGTGGGCTCAACAAAGGGCCACACCATGAGACCAGCTCCAATAGCTTTGACGTCCTACAACAAGTGGCAAGACTGCATGTTGTAGTCACGGCCCCTCTGCGGGAGACAAGACTGAGCCAGACGACGCTAAATGCAAGGGGGAGAAAGAGAGGTACCTGAGCCTGAGGAGAAGACTCATTAAGCTACACTGTCACCAGAGCAGACACCTTCCGTCTCCCGGCAACGCTGTAAATAAAGACTGTCACTTAATCTGGCCTGGTGGCGACAGCCTCGCCCTCTTATTTGCGTTATTAATATGCATGCTAATGTGCCCATTTTATGGCTCAACAGTTTCGATTCACTGTAAAATCAATTATCCATCTGGTAAACCTGCACTTTGCGCTGGCTGAGATGTGTATTAATTTTAGCAAACATACATGAGGCCCAGCACAATAATGATAAATAGCTCGATTAGGTGTGGTAAACACCGTTGCTCAGAGCAGGGCTCTAATGAGATTTCGGCACATAAGGAATTGCGGTTCCTTAAATAATGAGCCTTGTTGATTTTTGTATGCAAATTGCCAAAAGGAATGTTTCGCTGTCCTGCTTTCCAATTTCATTTAGATAAGACAGTGTTGCGATCGAGTGAGCGTGAACCCCTTTAACCGACACTCTGCTCCCACTGTCTCCGTCTTCCTCCCTTTCTGTTTGTTCAACACTGATCTGCTTTAAACCCTAATAAGCTCATGACACCCACTTGCGGTGTAATTTAATCAACCTCAACGCGAGTCAACTTGAGCTGACATCACGCTGTTGGCACTGTGAAGTCGAATGATATCATAAACTCCTAAAATGCTAGGGGGCGCCGGTTGTTGGCGCGAGGTCTCTTCGTGTGCTTACATATGCAGAATAACCGAACGGACAAATTCACCCTCCTCTGAGGTCAGTTTGTTGAAATCATAGGTTCATAACTCAACATTACTTACATTTTCCTCTTCATTTATCACTATAATGCGGAGCCCTGCTCTGGTGAGGGTCGGTTAGGGATTTGGCGGGGCTGGAAGCGGAGCTGGCTGAATATCAATAGCATATTTCATGCGGGCCCGGCGAGGATGCTTCATCAAGTCAAATTATGGGCAGGACGACCTCTCCTGCAGCTTCACCCATTAGATGCCATTCGCATTCTGCACAAGGCATCAAACGATTTATTTGCTTCAGTTACTTTCAGCAGACGATCAATCTCACAGTAATTATCTCTACAGAAAAACGTCAAGACAAGCTCTTGCCGATGTCGGGATGATGGCTCTGGTGTTTGACGGGTTCCAGTGCTCATCTCTGTGATAGCACGCACGTGTCGTATCCGTGAAGACTCTGAAGCAGGGCTCCCAGCAGAAATGGAGAGGAGTTTCAACTGGCATGGCAGTCGTAGAGCCGCTAGCAGAGCATGGAGACGTTAACGCGAGTGCAGTGCCAGCATCGGAGTGCCAGTCCCAGTGATCTCTCTGAGGAGCTCTTTCAATGGGCTGTTGCCTCTCCCTGACTGCCTGTTCCAACATTATGATTTGGCATTTTGTTCTCTGAGTTTACAGTGATGCACTTGTTCCACACCATCAAGCTCAGCATCTATGCTTAAAGCATGAACAGACATATTTACAAGTATCATTCTGAAACAACCATTTGTCTGAGGTCAGCTTGAGGCAACATTTGCTCTAAAATCACACACAGTGAGTCGCTGGATCTAGAACACAGAATTTCCTATCAGTGGGTCTGATTCAATAATAATTTTGCACTAATAAAAGTGTTAGTGTCTGTAATAATGTATACATTGTATATGAAAACTATATATAAATATAAATAACAGTATATAACAAGGCCATAACCATGTCTTGAACATTGGGGGGATAGATAGATAGATAGACAGATGGATAGATAGATAGATAGATAGACAGACAGACAGACAGACAGACAGACAGATAGACAAACAGATGGATAGATAGATAAGATAGATAGATATCACCGTTCTATATTAATGTGCCGCTTTCATTGACACACACACACACACACACCACTCTCACACAAAATCAGAGATCGCACTACGTGCACACAGAAACATTCAGGACTCTGGAGCACAGAAACATGTTGTCAACGCTGCCCCATGACTTTTAATTATAAAATAGCTTCGATACTGAATCGGTACATTATATTTCTCAGCAACGAAGAGGTCAAATCAATGTTTTTAAGTAAGTAAACTCATTGTTTCATTGTTTGTAGAGAGAGACGCACAGACCCAGGTAATTCATACACGCAACTTTCCTCCCTCTCCCTCTCTCTCAAATGGCCGTATTTCTATTGTAAAACAGTTGACTAATATTAAATGATTGGCAACTTCCATCTTACCTCACTCTCTTTCAACATTAAACTGACGCTTCGCGCTGGAATTCACACTGATTCTGTGAACAGTAAACCCTGCCTACATTGATTTGATTGGCCATCTCAGTTATTTTGAGATTGACGAGTGCTGTTAGCCCGCTGAGTGAGACCAGGCTGAAAATATAACTTATAAAGCTTTTTGTCATCCTAACAACAAGCGCTGTGTAATGGAGGGCAGCAGATCAGTGCAAGAATTTCAAACATTGGGGGGTACAGTTTTTCCATTTCTAATTATTGGGGGGCACTTGTATAGAGATATGCAAAATAGTTTCCTTTATTTATAAAAAAATGTTGTAAAATATTATTGAAATAGCACTATTCAATATTATACTTTTCATATTTAAATTTTTAAATATTTTTAAATATTATATTTACACACAAATAGTGAACAAGACTCAATCATAAGGTTTTTTCAAAGTCAACATGAAATCAAATTTGACCCTATTTATTTTCGTCATAGACGTTTGTGGTCATACTTTGAATGATTCATTGGTGCACATTATTGCAAAGAGTAAAGTGTTTGTCTTCGCAATCTTTTACGAAAATGTCGGAACTTGCTCCGTTTCTGCTTCTCTACTTTACTTTTTTACCCTCTAATTTTCAACCCTTCTCCTTCAATCACCAGTCATATAGAGATCACGGTGAACTAACTGTGCTGGTCCATATGTAATTCCCTCTTATTGCAAGTCAATCAAATCCCGCTGGATAAAATAAAGCCCCCATCTACATTTTTTTATAGCTGCATATCCACATCACAGAAGTAAAATGGGCTGAATTCTAGTGCTGTGTTCGATACATCGATACGACGATGTATCGTCACAGAGATCTGACGATACAAGTATCGATACAGCTGGCCCTGTATCGATATCGCGGCATGTGCGCTGCAGTGGACCGCGCTTAATTTGAATACAAGAACACCATTTAAAGCAGAGTATAAAAGTGCAAGGTTTCTAAAAAATAATGAATAGAGCATAATATATAGGCTACAACGAGGTTTGATCTGGCCGCAGAGGAACACAACTGGGGTTGTCTGATGTGAAGAGACGTAATCCTCGAAACTTCCCACTTGCACAATACGGAAATATCTGCTAAATGTCTTACTTATCTTGTCAACCTGGCAACCATGTGTACGCGCTCTGTCCTCACTGTGGATAAACGCGCTTGCTTTCTGAAAATACCGGTTAGCTTGCAGTTTAGCGATCTCCACTTCAATATTCTATTATCAGAAAAGTGTGATTTATCAAGTGTTCATTTATGAGAGAGAGAGAGACTGTGTATGTATGAATTACCACTACAATGATGTTACTAGCTCCTTGTTGAGAAAGATAATGTAGCTCTTCAGTGATTAAGCTATTTTATTAATAAAATTGCGGGGCAGCGCTAAAAAGTTTGTCTAAAGAGTAACCTGACTAAACGTGTCTGCGTGAGCTACAGTGAAGACAGCGCATTAGTTTAGAACTCTTCCAATTTTTATTTTTTTAAACGTAGAGAGTGTGTTGATTTGTGCAATGATAACCTACTCCCGTATCGTGATACGTATCGTATCGTGATACGCATCGTATCGTCACTTTGCTGGTGATACACAGCCCTACTGAATTCAGTTTCATGCTGATTTTAAATAAGCACCCCAGTCAATGATCAGATTACAGCAATGATTGACAGTGTTAATGTATGAATAATTGTATGCAGGAAATTGAGATGACACTTACTCAGCATGCCCATTCCCAGCATAAAGGCGTCCATGGTGTAGGGCAGACCTCTGGCTCTCCCCCGCGTCCCTGGAGGAAACATCACTTCCTTCGGCTGGGCCTTCTTACATTCTACCTGTGGATGGAGCACAAAAGATGTTGTTTCAGTGGTTTAGCTACTAATAAGACTACTTATTGCATCAAGGAACTGTCTGACTTTTACAAATGGCCTGCCCACAGGATATAAGAACTATGTTGTTCATATTTGGCTTGTGTCACCTTGCAGACAAACTATCAGAGCTCTCATAAGGATAATACATCACTTGTTAGAAAAATGAAAGGGACTAAAACAAACACTCTGTTCAGTCTGTGAAATCACAGTGTTTGTGCATCTCAGTCAGCAATGTACTGCATTAATGTCGCTGTAGTTTTTTGAGAGAGTGCTTTTGATGTTTGCGAAGGCATGCCGTGCAGTCTTCGGGCAAAAAAAGGATAAGTTCTTAAAAAAACAAAAAAGTTGTTTTTATTTTTTGTTTCCTCATCATTCCCCTACTGTCTTGCCACTCCAATCTGGTCCTCATCATCGAACCATTTCTACCCAGTGCACTTCCCCCTGATCACCCCCCCGCACCCCCAACCAGCTCCCTGCCGCCTTCTACTGATCATTTTCCTGCTGTGTTGACTGACATTTTGCCCTCCTCCACAATGCACAGTTAAAAGTCTGTTCATGACAGAACACACAGAGTGGGCGTCAAGAGTGACAGACCAACTGCAAACACCAGCATCAAAATTAAGTACAGCTATGAAATGAAGGATCCGTGGGTTTGTGGTAGTGACACGGTAAGAAATATCAACCCTAACATTGTGCAAGGCGTTGTGCACACAATGTGTCAACAAAGCCTCAACCACCTAAGAGATGCAGCCTGGCTTTATTTAAGCCCAATGAAAGCACAGATGACCAGGAGGGTATGAAGTGTCTGACAGACTGATTACTGGCATATGTACACACCCCATCGTGCACATGGCGCCTAGGGTAAGTAAAGTGGTAAATGCACATGAACGGCTTATTGGAATTTATTATGAGTACTATGAGGGGCTCTTTTAAGGCATAGTAGATAATCTGCCCTCACCAAGTCAACCTCTATTTGTCCATTTATATTACAGATGCTTACCTGCTCTTCTCTGGAGCTTCAGTTCAACTGGCTAATGGCAAATGCACACTACAAGACAGAAGTTCGACACACTTTCATGTTTTAAGCATGTGATTTAAAACACATGAACGTGAATGAATGTCAGGGAAAGGAATGATCTAAGAGAAGGGGTTTCAAGCTGGCGTCTGGTGACCCACAAGGGGTCGCAAGGGGGGCTGCAAAAAGTAAAGTGTAAAAATTATTTAATAAAAGGTCCACGGGTTTACAGTAGTTTGAAAACTAATTAAAAAAAAAATTTTTTTAATGAAGACTGCATTTGCGTGTTAAAAAAATACAGTGAAAACACTAATATTGTGAAAAAGTATTATAATTCTGAGTAACTGTTCATAATCAGCATATCAGTATGATTTCTGAAGGATCATGCAACACTGAAGACTGGAGTAATGGCTGCTGAAAATTCAGCTTTGCACAGGAATAAATTATATTTTTTAATTATATTCAAATTTAAAATAATTATTTCAAATTGTAATAATCTTTCACAGTATTACGGTTTTTACTGTAATTTTGATCAAACAAATGCAGCCTTGGTGAGCATGAGAGATTTCATTAAAAACATTCAAAAATCATAATGTTTCCAATTTTTTGATGAGTACTGTACATAATTATGATTTTTTTTTTTTCTATTGACAGAGATAGTTTTTAACAGTAAGAAGTAATACTGAAGTGTTTGTCATTGTAATCTTTTACGAAAACGTCAGAACTTGCTCTGTTTCTACTTCTCTACTTTATTTGCGTACCATCTAATTTTCAATCCTTCTTCTTCAATCGCCGGTCATTTAGAGATCATGGCGCGCTAACTGTGCTGGTTCATAAGCTCAAAGAAAATAAAGATGAAATTATATGAAAAACTTAAAACTTACAAAATCTTAACTATTAAAATTACTAAAACTAAATTAAAGCTAAACAGAAATATTTAAAAAATAAAATCCAAAAACAAAAACAAAAAAAGACAAAACCATAAACATACTAAAACTAAAATGAAAATGAAAACTGAAAATATAAAAATAAAAGTTAATGCAAAATATTAATAAATACTTTAATAGTATATAGATAGATAACACTAAAACACGGTACGGTTATACTATTCACCATTTCTCACATAGTATATAAATAAATAAATAACTCCTTGAATGTGAGCAAAAGGGACAAGATTTTGTGTGTATTTGGCCTAATTTTGTCTATTTCTTTTTCACCATCCCAGCTTTTCTAACACATCAGCTCTCTACAGATGCTTCCAGACACATATGTTATGTGCATAATCTCACGGCCCATTTTAATTGCCAAAGACCAAAATAAAAATGTATACCTTCGAAAAACTGGCAGAGCTCTTCTAAATTAATTAATTCACCCAGCATGTAACACATCAAGCTAGGTGACTGTATGACAGTATGTTGACCTTGATGTTAACTGCAAGAGAAAATATTCATCACCTAAAGATAAAGGAAATCCAGATATCTGTTAAAGATAGCACCTCCATTCTCTCAAATGACCTTATTTGTCATCGGAAGCGCTAAAAGAAAGCTGTATTTTCACGCTTTGAGCGGGCTAACAAACTTCAGACATTGCAATGCAAACACTGCTGCCTCTTTTCCAAAAATGAGCACATAAACCAACAAGCACTCGTAATCAGTATTCAGGTCCTCAGGACTTCTCCAAATACAACATGCCTTCATTAGGCACTGGCACTAAAGAGAGAGAGAGTGTGTGTGTGTGAGTGTCATGCGTGTAATTATGTCAGTGTGTGGTTTCAGTGATGAGGCCTGCAATCTCTGTGTGTTGCTAATAGGCGAGGAAAGCCTTGCTTCTGATCTGACTGTCATCAATGGGCATTTAAGAGCCATGACTATGGCTCCACATTATTACTTAACTAATTACCCTCGTCATTTGAGGTAGGCCAATGATGAGCTCTCTTCCCTCGTTAATGAAACTACGAAGGCACATGGCTAATGACCTGAGAGCACAGGGCAGCTGCGTTATCACGCCTGCACAGGGGGAGAAAGACGAGGAGAGGACGAGAGGAGGAAAGGACAGAAGGGACAACTTTTGATGAGTGGATGCCTGCACTTTTGGACCAAATCTGGAAATCAACTAAAAACCTCACCATAAAATGCAGCATTCTTTGTGTGTGCTATCAAGGCATCAAGAACTTCTAAAATGTGGCAGTCTTCTAAACATTTTTTTAAATAAAATAAGAAAATAATTTAAATATTATTTTAATAAAAATATTTAAAAATATATATAAGGCCGTAAAATATTAAAAAGGCCAAAATAATGAAAAAATTAAGAAAATGATATAATGCTCAACAGAACATATACAAAAAACCTTTTCCAGCTTCAGCTTAAGTTAAGCATCAGGGACTAGATCTTCTAATAGAATGATGCCACTAAAATTAGCTTTAAATACAGTTTTAATGTAAATTTGTGTTCTTACTATTTTTTTATTATATAGTAACCTTTGTGTAAAAGGAATAAGCCATGAGACCACGCTATATTGTGAATATAGTTAGGTCAGAAGTGGTTGCTGGGATGTCTATGCATTTTGTGCCTAACAAAGTCCTTTTGCCACATCTAAATTCATAATAACATCTCTTGTAACTAGGGTTGGGTACCGAAACCCGGTACCAATATGGCACCAGTACCTATGTACCCGGTATGTACAAGAACCGAATCAGAACGCAGATTTCGGTGCCATGCCTGAGCGATCGATTGAAATATTTGTCCTCTGGTTCTCTGAACCGTATGTAAGAAGCATCATCACCGGCACCGCACGTGAAAAATAATTTCCCGACTGAGAAAATGCATATGAACTCAATTCGGAAAGCTCTAATAATACAAATCCAACAAATCTTTGTAGTAACGCGAGTGTCCATGTTGTTTTCACATTCCGACTTAAAAGCACAACTCGGGAAATGAGAGCATCCGTCTTAATTATTATGAAAATACCAGAGATGGCTTGAATAACACACATAAACTATATTGTCGCAGTCGAGTGTTTATTGTCTTCGTTTTATCATTCAAAACGTTTATATGTTCTGTTTACTCAGTTACAGCTATAATAGCGACGTCTTCGTCCATATTAGGGATTTCCTGGAGGGTCATGAGTTCCGCTACTTCTGTGACTGGATATGTGGATTTTCTGTGCGAGGGCGCCCAGTATGAATGAAACAGACATCATGTGTGTATAGTGCTAATGGCCAATCCATCATTTTTGGGGGAATTTTTATTTATTTATTTTTGTAAT